GGAGGTGACCAGGGAAGGAGCAGACGTCATGATGCGGAGGTGACCAGGAAAGGGAGCAGACGTCACAATACGTACAAAGCACTTGCCTCTCCAGTTCCTGGGGAAGATAGGCATGTGCTTTACTTCCTCCCAACTTGTGTAGAAACAGATGACCTTACAGAGGAAATAGAAAGATGAAGCTGGACTGTATTTAGTCATTGGCACAAAGCAGCTTGTTGGCGCCGTCTCTGGAAGCATAAACAAGTAAAACGCAAGGACAGAGCTCCTGGATAGGGCCTGGCGGGGGGCCTGCTGTGGCAGCCCAGCCTCCCAGCGTCTCTGAGTCACGCTGAGGCACTCGGGTGCAGTGGAGAGTAGGGTCTGAACGCCGTGGGCCTACACGGATCCTGCCGTGTTTCAGGCCAACAGAAAGCCAGCCAGGCTGAGCTGAGCTCCAGCAGCGCAGCGTGATTTGAAGGGCCACATGGCTGTTTGTTGCGGTGCGCCCGTGGCGAGTGTGCACGGGGAGCACTTTCACGCACTTTCCAACCCTGCGGCTGGAACTGCCGCACATCCAGCTCACGCTGTGGGGTGGTGGCACATGTATGCCCCTGACCCTCAGCCATGTGTCCTTGACGTCAGTCACAGTAGCTTGCACTGGGCCCCAGCGACTGCCCGCCACTGTGCCGAGCCCTTGAGGAAGCATCTCACCAAAACTTCACAGCCATGCTAAGGCCACCCTGTTATTACTCCCGTTTTATGGATGAGGAAGCTGACTCACCTAGGCTTAGGGAGCTTGCCTGAGGCCCGACAGCCGGAGCAGCCCTGCCCCTCCCCGCCTCGTGTCTCCCCTGGGTACCGCAGGTGCAGAGGATGCACCCTGGGGTGCCCCTGCTGCTGGGCCGGTGACGGGAACACACACCCTCACGGGTACTCACATACTTTACAGACACAGGCAGAGGATGCACCCTGGGGTGCCCCTGCTGTTGGGCTGGTGATGGGGGACATACACTCTCATGGGCACTCATGTAGTTTAAAGACCCCCACAGAGGATGCACCCTGGGGTGCCCCTGCTGTCGGGCTGGTGACGGGGGACACACCCTCACGGGCACTCACGTAGTTTAAAGACACAGAGGCTTCCCAGCTTGGCGGCGAGCTGTGTTCTGTGCACGGGCATCCTGCTGTCAAGGAGAGTAAAGATGCAGAGACCGCGGGTGGGGTGAGATTTCCCGCCTGCGTCTGTTCCGACTGCTGGAAGGAGAGTCATTCCTGGGTGACGAAATTTCAGTTGAGTGTTTACAACTGTTGTCGTTTTCAGCATGATTTTCTTGTAATTAGCAGGTCATTTTTACCAAAAGGTGGAGCTATTGTCAGAAATTAATCCAGGTGTGGGAGAAACTCTGATTTTCTCAGGCAACTTCTATGAAGTTGCAGTTAAGGGTATGTGTGATGGGCATCATGGATGCTGGGGGCAGCAAGTTAGAGCCGAGGCTCAGGGTTCTCTGCAGGGCGGCTGAAGAGAGGGGCCCTCTGCTCCTGATGTCATGGCCCGTGACCCACTGCGTGGACTCCCTGGTGGGCATTTGGCCTTGGCCCTGCCACCGGCCATGCCGTCTCTTCTCTGGTAGCAGCATGGCCGAGAAAGGGTTTCAGTGGACGGGAGAGGTGCTGGGCCTCTCTTGTTTCTCAGATGAAGCAAACCAGAATATGAAGGTACTTGGCTCTTCCCTGCAGGCGGCCTGCACTCCCTAAGGGCGCTGCACTGGAAGCCGGGGTGACCTGCTTGTAGCTCTGTCGGCACTGAAGCAGGCTCCAGGGTGGTGACTGCAGAGGCTCTGCCTCTGTTCCAGTGGGATGGTTTCCCACCAGGAATAGCACCGCCATCTCTCTGCATCTGCTGCTCCCAGCCACAGATGGTGGCCGGGGTGGAGCCAGGTCCCCTGCCACCCACCGGGATCGTGACCAGAGGTGCGTGGTCCCCTGCGGCCCCCCAGGATCATGGCCGGGGTGGAGCCTGGTCCCCTGCGGCCCACTGGGATCGTGACCTTAGGTGGAGCCTGGTCCCCTGCGGCCCATTGGGATCATGGCCAGGGTGGAGCCTGGTCCCCTGCGGCCCACTGGGATCATGACC